AAAACAAAGATAATAAATATTAGCCCACCATGTGGAGGCATGATGGCCTCATGGTTAGTGCGCTTGTCTCCGGATTGAGCAGTCCACGTTCAAGTCCTAGCTGGGGCAATGTGTTGTGTTCTTGGGCAAGACACTTTACTTTCACAGTGACTCTCCATACAGGTGTTTAAAAGGGTACCAGCAAATTTAATGCAAAGGGGGTAAACCCTGCAATGAACTAGCATCTGATCCAGGGGGGGAATGGAAATACTCCTTGTCACTTCATGTTACTGAAACAGGAGATAAGCAGGGGCCTGATGGGCCACTTGGTTCATATGCAAACTTTACCTACCTACCATATGATGAACCTGTCAAAAAGTTTTGTTTCTACGCAAGAATGGTGGAAATAGGATTGAGAAACAGGAATGCTCAAAACCACTTACCCCGTTCCCAGAAAAGTTGACTCAGAATTTTGATAAGTAATGGCCATGTGTAACACTATGCCATGCCGACGAAAAGGCTTTCCCTTAGCATTAAGAGCATCAGAGGGTTCATCTAAACTTGTCACTCCAGCTGCTTTAAGAATCTCCTGGATGGTGAGCTTATCTGCCATTCCTATCAAGGCACTGTTCTCATTGGACGAAAGGCTATATAGCAGAAGAGGAAACAAACAGACTGACTGTTTTTATTATGAAATCAATTTGACTTGAGACAAAGGATACACACAAATTTTAGAGACTGATTTTAGGGAGAAATTTTTGGGACTAATTTTTGGGTCCAATCTAAGGGACTGATTTAAAGAACAAATTTTAGGGACAATTTTTTGGGACATTTAAGGGACAAATTTTAGGGGTAAATTTAAGGAACGCATTTTAAGGACAAATTTTTGAGAAAAATTTAAGGGATCAATTTTTGGGACCAATTTTTTTTACTAGTTTTTGGATGCAATGTAAGGGACCATTAAGGGACAAATTTTAAAGACAACCTTTAGGGACAAATTTTAGGGACAACTTTAATGGACAAATTTTTGGGACCTATTTTGAGACCAAATTTTGGGACTAATTTTTGAGTCCAAGTTAAGAGACTAATTTAGGGACAAATTTTAGGGACCAATTTTAGGGCCTGATTTTCTGGACAAGTTTAAAGGACAAATGTTTGGAACCAATTTTCTGGTGTGGGCCTATCATGCAACGTTATTTATCTTGAAATGACGACTCTGTGCGGTATATATTACCTTTTTAGAATAGTTCCATCATGGCTGTGCAGATAGCCCCTCATGTTTCTTTGTGAAGCTGCCAGGTCCTTCACTTCTTTTCCTCTCAAAAACTTTGTGGCCAATACAGCATGTTCAATCTTAATCACCATTGACTCTGGCTGAACTGTGAAGTACATCTTTTCTCTGGAGGATAATCATATTTAATGAAGGGAAAAGCTCCAAGTTAGGGGGGAGAGTGAGTACCTGGGGAGCACCTGGGTGGGGGTGTCATCATCATCATCTTTATTTAAAAACACGGTAAATACATCAGGCATTAACAATTTAATATAAAAGCTAAAACTTATTATGAAATACTATGTAACTATACAGATTAATCTTCTATAATTTAAAATATTGCTAACTATTAAAGAAAAGTAAACTAGTAAATTAAAGCCTGTTCTACATGAATGCCGTGTCGGGATTAACAATCGTCAGAAATTAGTCAGAGATGTTGCTTGCCTAGCAGCTGAGGGTAGACTGTTCCAGAGGACTGCACCACTATAGCCAAAGCTATTTTTGTAATGGTTAGTATGTGGCAAGGGAATAGCAAGCTTATTATCACAATCGCGCAAATTGCAAGAAGTAATCACATCACTCCGCTGAATGAATTTTGAGGACAAATAATTGGGTGCGAGGCCATTTAAGGACTTATAGACCATCTCCGCCTTTAGTTTTTGCTGTTGAGTTTCTAAGTGTGTGGCCTGAACCTTGAAATTGTTACCCTATTTCTGACCAAAATCTGTGATTTTCCATACCCTCTTTCTGACCTGAGCAAAAAATTGATACTCCATTTCAGACTTCTAAAATAAGTTCATGGTTCTAATATATGACCGCAGCTAACCAGAAATGGTGTCATTTGCATAAACATTTGAACTACTATTTTGTGGGTTAAGGAGAAATATGTTTTATCTTTATTGGCTAAAAATATCCAAGCCGCAGGATATAATGTTTCTTACAATCAGTCCAGTTTAGACTAGTCTAGAGAGTCTGACTAATAAAAGACAAAATAATAGCCTAAAGTGAGCTAAAAGTAGATTAAAAATGTCTTCAACAGAAAAGTATTATAACAGAATGTACCTGACTGTTTCGAATTGATGAAGTTTTCCAGTAGTTGACTTAGAAATATTTTTGATTTGCCAGCGATCCTTTGCAAATGTTGTCAAACTAATTGTGCGAGATTCCACAGGCCAAGATAATTCCTGAGCATCCATGGTCTGGCATGGGGTGCACATCTTAGAAACCTTCTCTATCAATAAACAATAAATCTTATTTGTGCTGTTTTTATATAATCCACCTGAAACAGATTTCTGCCACATTATCAAATCTGGCTGAAGTATTTTATGCAGTGAGATTGAACCCACTTTCAAATTATTACTCTCTCATAATTATTTACTGTGATTGGCTAATCTAATTAGTTAGTTTGCTTGAATCACCCATTTACATATCAAAAGTTGACTTAGCTTGATTTAACTGCCTAGATCAACTTAATTGTGCCTGAAAAAATCAGTCTGATTTGAACTGGGGGGGGGGTGACAGTAGCTGGGTGTAGTTTTCATGGAGTACGCAGTAGAGACGAAAGTGAAGGTGCAAGCTGCTAGGGAGTTTTGGGGCATGCTCCATGCCCCCCCCCC